CAGGGGCCTCGGGGGCGTGTCCTCCTCAGGGGGCCTCCATCCCAGGTCTCTCCTCCTCCTGCATCTCACTCTATGGGTGCCCATGTCCTTCCCTTCATTCCTCTCTAATCCTTTCCTCTTGCCCTCCCCCCCCCCCCCCACCCCCACCTATTTTGCATGGAGTATGTATTTGTGAGTTGTCATACGTTGGCGGTTTGTCTGATGAGCCGGGATACGTTTTCCATATTTGCAGCCCAGTCCGGTGTCCGGTGACAGCCGGCTCCGGGATCTGTGATTTATGTCTGTGGTGAAGATTCGGATTGAATTCCCATCTAAAGGAAAGCGAGAAGAATGGACGGATGACGAGTTCCTTCTGAAATTGCTGAGGCCCCTCCCCCCCCCCCCCCCCCCATCAACATGCAGCGTTTACTGTTCTCATTACACACCTTGTTGTAGTCTCAGTGATGTCATCACTGGGTCTCTGTGCTTCTCTATGCAATGCAGGCTTTACGTCTCTGTGTCATGAGGATTTTGTAGCTGTATAAAGTAATCTCAGGCAGCGATGACTATTCAGGCTTCAGTGTCCTGATATCGTCCTGGAGGTCGAATGTAACACATTGGAGTGGAAAAGCCCATTGAATGGCCCCCACGCTCACCTGACCTAAATCCAATAGAAAATCTCTGGGATGTCATGTTTCGGTCCATCCGACGCCACCAGGTTGCACCTCAGACTGTCCAGGAGCTCAGTGATGGCCTGGTCCAGATCTGGGAGGAAATCCCCCAGGACACCATCCGTGGTCTCATTAGGAGCCTCCCCCGACGTCAGGCATGCATACAAGCACGTCGGGGGCCACACAGACTACTGAGGACCATTCTGATTGGTGCAATGACATTTCACCAACATGGACTCGCCTGCTTCATCGTCCTCTGTAGGTCGATCGTTTTCATTTCCATCAAACAATGGGGCATCCTTACGTCTAAGAACTCTTCGCTCGTCTGGGAACTCTTCGCTCGCTCGTCTGGGATCGTGTGGCTCAACTGGGAACTCACGCGCTCTTCATCCCGCGACGGAGCAGACGGAGCGCTCTTCATCCCGCGACGGAGCAGACGGAGCGCTCTTCATCCCGCGACGGAGTAGACGGAGCGCTCTTCATCCCGCGACGGAGCAGACGGAGCGCTCTTCATCCCGCGACGGAGCAGACGGAGCGCTCTTCATCCCGCGACGGAGCAGACGGAGCGCTCTTCATCCCGCGACGGACGGAGCGCTCTTCATCCCGCGACGGAGCAGACGGAGCGCTCTTCATCCCCCGACGGAGCAGACGGAGCGCTCTTCATCCCCCGACGGAGCGCTCTTCATCCCCCGACGGAGCGCTCTTCATCCCCCGACGGAGCGCTCTTCTTCCCCCGACGGAGCAGACGGAGCGCTCTTCATCCCGCGACGGAGCGCTCTTCATCCCGCGACGGAGCGCTCTTCATCCACGCGACGGAGCGCTCTTCATCCCGCGACGGAGCGCTCTTCATCCCCCGCGACGGAGCGCTCTTCATCCCGCGACGGAGCGCTCTTCATCCCGCGACGGAGCGCTCTCTTTCCCGCGACGGAGCGCTCTTCATCCCGCGACGGAGCGCTCTTCATCCCGCGACGGAGCGCTCTTCATCCCGCGACGGAGCGCTCTTCATCCCGCGACGGAGCAGGCGGAGCGCTCTTCATCCCGCGACGGAGCAGGCGGAGCGCTCTTCATCCCCCGACGGAGCAGACTGAGCGCTCTTCATCCCCCGACGGAGCAGACTGAGCGCTCATTGTTCGGTGGGTGTTCTTGTGACAGGCGCTCGTTGATGAGGTTTTATTGGTTGGGTCGCACACGGTGAATGTGTTTACTTTCTCCAAGGAGGTGATCCGTCAAAATGACATTTTGTTTGCCTTTTTAAATACTTAAAAAAAAATTTTTGGCCTCGTGCACACTGGGCGCTATTGACGCTGCCCCCGAGGGGCGCCTGGCGTTCTGTCCTTTCTGCCTCTAAACGCCCCTCCATGTTAGTTTGCCTCCATGTACACATTGGCGTCTAGACACAGAAAAGTCTAATTCCGTTGTTTTTCAATAGAACAAATTCTCTTGCAGTTCCAGGTTTGGGACAAACCATTGGCCACTGGCAGGGTTACACTGCAGCTCACCAATTCTTAGATGTGACGGCTGCATTAGTTTTCTTCTTTTTTTTTTTTAAGCTTTCTTCTATTTTCATCTGGTGACCCAGCCAGTAAGTCTGTTTTTTTTCAAAAGCACAAGCTGTCCTGCAGATGTATCAGTTCAAGATTTGAGATAAACCATTGGCCACTGGCAGGATTACACTGCAGTTCACCAATTCTTAGATGTGACGGTTGCATTAGTTTTCTTTTTATTTCTTTATTTCTTCTGTTTTCATCAGGTGATTCGGCCAGTATTTCTGTTGTTTTTCAAAAGCACAGGCTCGCTTGCAAATGTATCCGTTTACAGGGATGGGACAAACCACTTAGCACTGGCAGGGTTACATTGAAGCTCACCAATCGGATGTGACGGCTGCATTACTTTTTCTTTAAGCTTTCACCTGGTGATCCGGCCAGGAAGTCTGTTGTTTTTTTCTAAAGCACAAGCTGTCCTGCAGATGTATCGGCTTACCGAGATGAGAGAAACCATTTACCACTGGCAGGGGTACTGACAATGATCAGCTATTATTTATTGGTATAAAAACTTTTATCACGAAAGAAACAAAACTGTCGCTGTAACTGATTGTAGCTGGAGTGTTAGTGTATCTAAATCTGCTAGTCCATCTAACACCACTCCCCTTCCCCCAGACTGACAATGCTGCTGTCCTAGGGTGCCCCCTGTGCTCCTTCATCCAGAGAGGGGGCGCTGTAATACAGGAGGTGCGATACTGGCTTCATCCAGAGAAGGGGCGCTGTAATACAGGAGGTGTGGTACTGGCTGCATCCAGAGAGGGGGCGCTGTAATACAGGAGGTGTGGTACTGGCTTCATCCAGAGAGGGGGCGCTGTAATACAGGAGGTGTGGTACTGGCTTCATCCAGAGAAGGGGCGCTGTAATACAGGAGGTGTGGTACTGGCTTCATCCAGAGAGGGGGCGCTGTAATACAGGAGGTGCGATACTGGCTTCATCCAGAGAGGGGGCGCTGTAATACAGGAGGTGTGGTACTGGCTTCATCCAGAGAGGGGGCGCTGTAATACAGGAGGTGCGATACTGGCTTCATCCAGAGAGGGGGCGCTGTAATACAGGAGGTGCGTTACTGGCTTCATCCAGAGAGGGGGCGCTGTAATACAGGAGGTGCGTTGCTGGCCCTGGCAATATAGGACATTTTTGGTTTTGGGGCGTGGCGGTGGGCGGAGTTTACACACACTGTCCCCAACCAGTATGGATGAGGAAGAAGCTGCTGGAGTGCAGCCTGCGCTCCATTGGAGGACAGGTAAGACATCAGGGGTCTTCAGGACTTTTAAAGCGCCCTCTATGGAGAACATGGGGTACTGAAGTCTGTTGCCGTTTTCTGGGTGCGCTCAGTTTTAAGCCTCGACACGTCTGGTATCCATTTACTCGGCGCAACCTCATCTTTTATATTGTGCAAAAATATTTGGGTAATTTATTGTTTGTGTGCCCTAAAATTCACTTTTTTTTTTGTCGTCTTCTTACTGAGATTTTGCACACAATCATTGCAGCAATATCTCCAGGGAGTCTGCTTTCAGAAAATATATGTTTGGGGAGATTTTATGCAAACTTCAGGCCTAAAATGATTTTTTTTTTAAAGAAAATATTGGGGGGGGGGGGGGGGTTGTGCAATCTTCAGGCCTAAAATGATTTTGTAAGAAAATAAATGTTTGGGGGTTTTCTGCAAACTTTAGGCCTAAAACTATTTAAAAAAAAAAAAAAAAAAGAAAATATATAATGTTTTTTATGGGGGGGGGGGGGGGGGGGTTTATGCAATCTTCAGGCCTAAAATAATTTTTTTTTTTAAAGAAAAATATATATATTTGTGGAGGATTTATGCAATCTTCAGGCCTAAAATGATTTTTTTTTTTAAGAAAATAATGTTTGGGGGTTTTATGCAAACTATTTAAAAAAAAAAAAAAAAGTCATACCTAAACAATTTTTTTTGTACAAAGAAAATATAATTTTGGGGGGGGGAGGGGGGGGGGGTTTAGGCAATCTTCAGGCCTAAAAACTATTTAAAAAAAAAAAAAGAAAATATATTATGTTTGGGGGGTTTTATGCAATCTTCAGGCCTAAAATATATATATATATATTTTTTTTTTAAACATGGTTGAGGGTTCTAACCTTCTTCTTTTTTTTTTTTTTTTGATGGTCAATGGGGCAAAAACTGCTCAGTGTGAAAGCAGCCTATTGGCTGAAAAGGCGCCGGAAATAAATTTGTCGTCATTTAAATTCATGATATCAATTACAAAGTCTATTATTCAATTATATATTAAAAAAAAATCTTTTTTTTTTTAAACTCTCCATTTTGGTTTCTGGCCAAAGCCATCCGAACTTTTCGGTTTCGTTACAAGAATTTTCGTTTTCGGTGCACCACTAGTTTGAATGTGAGGTTTGTTGGCGTCTCGTGTGTGGGAACATTCACCCGTCTGTAACGGTACATTCACCTTCTCCTGTAGAAATGGCAATGATCCAAATCCTCCTGGCAGAGCTCTCCGTAGTGCTGAAAGTGGGTTGTCACAACCAAAGCAGGGCTTGCAGTTAAAGAATACGTCCACCTTTTGTTCTCCCTCTCCCTCCCCGGACCCCGCATTCCCGCTCTCCCCGGACCCCGCATTCACTATATCCCTCTCTCCCCGGACCCTGCATTCCCTATATCCACTCTCCCCGGACCCTGCATTCACTATTCACTTTTATCCGCTCTCCCCGGACCCTGCATTCACTACATCCGCTCTCCCTGGACCCCGCATTCACTATATCCGCTCTCCCCGGACCCTGCATTCACTATATCCGCTCTCCCCGGACCCTGCATTCACTATATCCGCTCTCTCCCCCCGGACCCTGCATTCACTATATCCGCTCTCCCCGGACCCTGCATTCACTATATCCGCTCTCCCCGGACCCTGCATTCACTATATATCCGCTCTCCCCGGACCCTGCGTTCACTATATCTGCTTTCCCCGGACCCCGCATTCACTATATCCGCTCTTCCCGGACTCTGCATTCACTATATCTGCTTTCCCCGGACCCCGCATTCACTATATCCGCTCTCCCTGGACCCCGCATTCACTATATCTGGTCTCCCCGGACCCTGCATTCACTATATCTGGTCTCCCTGGACCCCGCATTCACTATATCCGCTCTCCCCGGACCCTGCATTCACTATATCCGCTCTCCCCGGACCCCGCATTCATTATATCCGCTCTCCCCGGACCCCGCATTCACTATATCTGGTCTCTCCCGGACCCTGCATTCACTATATCCGCTCTCCCCGGACCCTGCATTCTCTATATCCGCTCTCCCCGGACCCTGCATTCACTATATCCGCTCTCCCCGGACCCCGCATTCACTATATCCGCTCTCCCCGGACCCTGCATTCACTATATCCGCTCTCCCCGGACCCTGCATTCTCTATATCCGCTCTCCCCGGACCCTGCATTCACTATATCCGCTCTCCCCGGACCCTGCATTCACTATATCCGCTCTCCCCGGACCCTGCATTCACTATATCTGGTCTCCCCGGACCCTGCATTCACTATATCCGCTCTCCCCGGACCCTGCATTCTCTATATCCGGTCTCCCCGGACCCTGTGTTCACTATATCTGGTCTCCCGGACCCTGCATTCACTATATACTCTCCCAGGCCTCTCTCTGATTGGTTGTGGTGTAGCAGGTTTAGTTTCTGGCTGTACATGGGGATGCAAACAAATCATTAATGAGACATTAAAGTGGAATTAAATCTTTAAAAAAAAAAAATAAATGAGTTGAGGATTGTTGGCAGAGGAGACCCTCAAGCCTGCCAACAAAAAAAAACTCCTTCCATTTCCCCAAGGCGATTTTTTTTTTTTTTTATATCTTCGGTCGGCGCACACTTTCAGCTGACGGGCCAGATGCAGGTGTGATGCGACTCCTGTGTTCATCATTATCAGCCGTCCAATGGCTGAAGAGGATTGCCAGGGGACCTGTAAGAACTGAGAGCGAGGGAGGTGGACACATTGGTACCTGGACCTGTCACGGTGGGAGGACCACACGGGGAGCGGGGGAGGTAGGCGTATGCTATAATCTGAACGTATGATGTGCGTTGTGGGAGTGGCTCAGCCAAGCGACGTTCACTTCTGCCGTAAGCAGGCCATACACGGGTCAAATTCTGAAAATTTTTTCGAAAACATCGTTCGTTCTGTAATCTGATGGTGCCACCAATGATTTTGAAAATCGGTCATTCTTCATGAATTTTCCAGCGTGCCCAATAAACGAAAAGGGGAGGAACCACGAAAATCGTCCGGCGCCATCGCCCCACTAACAGAGCGAAAATCGGCCCATTTATTGTTCCGATTTTCAAACGAAAAATCATTCGGAAATCAACCCGTGTATGGCCGGCCTTCGTCCCCCATTCACTTTTTTTTTTTTTAGACTGGGCCTCCTTTTGCTCCAAAAACGCACCAAAAAAGTTTATGTAACAAAGTTTGGATATGAGCCAAGTGCGTTTTTTTTTTTCGTGGCGCAGAAAATGCGCAACCTCCCTCAAGAAATGATGGCGCTGCGAGCGTATCTCGTGTTTTAGTGCATTACGCATGCATTTCTGCTGTGCCCCAGATGTGAACAGGGCCTTGGGGTTCGTTCACAGTGGTGTGGGAAACCCGCATTTGCGTTTCAAAACGCACTGGGCGCGCGTGCAATCCTAACGATGCCCCACACACATTGCGTTTTTGCCTGCGGGAGATCGCAGGGTGCCGCAGTATCTGGTTGCAGTGTGTTTTTGTAATCTGTCGGCGCCGAGCGCACGCAAATATGGCGCCCCTCGGAATATTTATGTACCCAATGTAAATGTATTTATTTCAGGTACTTGTATAGCGCCGTCAATTTACATATATATTGTGCATTCACATCAGTCCCCGCCCCCGAGGAGCGTACAATCTAAGGTCCCTAACTCACATTCATACATACACATACTAGGGACAATTTAGACAGGAGCCAATTAACCTACCAGCATGTTTTTGGAGTGTGGGAGGAAACCGGAGTACCCGGAGGAAACCCACGCAGGCACAGGGAGAACATGCAAACTCCAGGCAGGTGGTGCAGTACGACCCGAGTACTGCCAGGCGGAAGTGCGACCCAAACAAAGTATGTGCCGAGACTGCTCCCGGCACATTGACTGGCGCCTTGCGCTACTTCCGGTCGGCCGCTTTCCGATCATGTGACTGCCAATCATGGCGGTCACATGACCCTAAAACCCAACCCCGCCTCCCGGTGTCACAAACCCCTTAATGGGCTAGGACAGTGGTAGGCAACCTGCGGCTCTCTAGCTGTTGTGGAACTACATTTCCCATGAGGCATTGCAACATTACAAAACTGACAGTTACAGCTGTGACTTGCAGAGGCATGATGGAACTTGTAGTCCCTGGAGAGCCGCAGGTTGCCTACCCCTGGGCTAGGAGGTGCCGGCGCCAAGGGTTAAAAAGTACTTTTGGTGTGATTTCAGCCCATCGGCTGAAAAAAAAAATGCATCACACCGAAAAGCACCAAAATTTGTGTAAACCGGCACTTAAAATATTTGTAAATAGAGCAATGAAAACATCAAACACAGTAAGATCCATAGGTTGTGCCGAGGGAATTCTTTTCTTTCTGCCGGCATCATTTCTTTGTTTATGACCCCACCGATGGGGGACTTCCTGCTTGAGGGTGACAACGCTCAGAGTGTGTGCCGATGCAGGAGCAGCGTGGTCACCCTTGGTATGTGCATTTCTGTGGATGTGTAGATGCACAGCGTGCCTGTACTTAGCCTAGCCTCCTTCTGTGTATATGTGTGTGTGTGTGTATGTATATGTGTGTATATATATATATATATATATATATATTTATATTTCTGAGGTGTGTATAGAAGGTGGATATACAGGTGAAATTTGAAAAATTATAATATTGTGCAAAAGATGATTTATTTCAGTGCAGCAACTTAAAAGGTGAAACTAATATAAGAGACTCATTCCATGCAAAGCAAGATAGTCCTTTCAAGCCGTGATTTGTCATCATTGTGATGATTATGGCTTACAGCTCATGAAAACCCCAAATCCACAATCTCAGAAAATGAGAATATTCCATGCAATCAATAAAACACGGATTGTACATAGAACAATATCGGACCTCTGAAAAGTAGAAGCTGCATATGTACTCAGTACTTGGTTTGGGCCCCTTTTGCAGCAATTACTGCCTCAATGCGGCGTGGCATGGAAGCTATCAGCCTGTGGCACTGCTGAGGTGTTATGGAAGACCAGGATGCTTCAATAGCGGCCTTTAGCTCTTCTGCATTGTTCGGTCTCATGTCTCTCATCTTTCTCTTGGCAATGCCCCATAGATTCTCTATGGGGTTCAGGTCAGGCGAGTTTGCTGGCCAATCCAGCACAGTAATCACATGGTCATTGAACCAGGTTTTGGTGCGTTTGGCAGTGTGGGCGGAGCCAAGTCCTGCTGGACCAAAAATGAAGTCAGCATCCCCATAAAGCTCGTCTGCGGAAGGAAGCATGAACTCAAGCGAGTGCTCCAAAATCTCCTGGTAGACGGCTGTGTTGACCCTGGACTTAATGAAGCACAGTGGACCAACACCAGCAGATGACATGGCTCCCCAAATCAACACAGACTGTGGAAACTTCACACTGGACTTCAAGCATCTTGCAGTGTGTGCCTCTCCATTCTTCCTCCATACTCGGGGTCCTTGTGCCTCTCCATTCTTCCTCTATACTCGGGGTCCTTGTGCCTCTCCATTCTTCCTCCATACTCGGGGTCCTTGGGCCTCTCCATTCTTCCTCCATACTCGGGGGGTCCTTGGGCCTCTCCATTCTTCCTCCATACTCGGGGTCCTTGTGCCTCTCCATTCTTCCTCTATACTCGGGGTCCTTGTGCCTCTCCATTCCTCCTCCATACTCGGGGTCCTTGGGCCTCTCCATTCTTCCTCCATACTCGGGGTCCTTGGGCCTCTCTCCATTCTTCCTCCATACTCGGGGTCCTTGGGCCTCTCCATTCTTCCTCCATACTCGGGGTCCTTGGGCCTCTCCATTCTTCCTCCATACTCGGGGTCCTTGGCCCCTCCATTCTTCCTCCATACTCGGGGTCCTTGTGCCTCTCCCTTCTTCTTCCATAATCGGGGGGTCCTTGGGCCTCTCCATTCCTCCTCCATACTCGGGGTCCTTGGGCCTCTGCATTCCTCCTCCATACTCGGGGTCCTTGGGCCTCTCCATTCTTCCTCCATACTCTGGGTCCTTGGGCCTCTCCATCCTTCCTCCATACTCGGGGTCCTTGGGCCTCTCCATTCTCCTCCATACTCGGGGTCCTTGGGCCTCTCCATTCTTTCCTCCATACTCGGGGTCCTTGGGCCTCTCCATTCTTCCTCCATACTCGGGGTCCTTGGTTTCAAATGAGATGCAAAAGTTGCTCTCATCAGAAAAGAGGACTTTGGCCCACTGAGCAACAGACCAGGTCTGTTTTTCTGTAGCCCAGGTAAGACACTTCTGACGTTGTTTGTTGTTCAGGAGCGGCTTGACAAGAGGAATACGACATTTGAAGCCCATGTCCAGGATCCGTCTGTGTGTGGTGGCTCTTGATGCACTGACTCCAGCCTCAGTCCACTCCTTATGAAAGTCCCCAACACTTTTGAATGGCCTTTTCCTGACAATCCTCCTCCAGGCTGCGGTCATCCCTGCTGCTTGTGCACCTTTTTCTTCCACACTTTTCCCTTCCACATAACTTTCTATTAATGTGCTTTGATACAGCACTTTGGGAACATCCAACTTCTTTTGCAATTACCTTTTGAGGCTTTCCCTCCTTATGGAGGGTGTCAGTGATGGTGTCAGGTCAGCAGTCTTTCCCATGATTGTGATTCCTACTGAACCAGACTGAGAGACCATTTAAAGGCTCAGGAACCCTTTGCAGGTGTTATGGCTTAATTATCTGATTAGAGTGGGAGCCGAGAATATTCCACCTTTTCACAATATTCTAATTTTCTGAGATTGTGGATTTGGGGTTTTCATGAGCTGTAAGCCATAATCATCACAATGACGACAAATCACGGCTTGAACTATCTTGCTTTGCATGGAATGAGTCTCATATATTAGTTTCCCTTTTAAGTTGCATTACTGCTTGAGGTGATTGTAGCCGTATTAGTGCATTTGCGACAGAAACAATTCAGTACTGTCCGTGATACTTTTTTTATTTGCAAATTTGTATGTTAGTGCAAATAAAAAAAAGTATCAGGGACAGTACTCAAGTTGCATTACTGAAATAAATGAACTTTTGCACCATATTCTAATTTTTCGAGTTTCCCCTGTATATATTTGGCGCGCACAC